TGTATTTATCCTCACAACACCCCTGTGAAGTAGGGAATTACTTTTATTCCCATTTTGCAGATGAGGGACTGAGGCACAGAGAGGCTTAGGGCCAGAGTTTCAAAGGTGCCTGAATACCTTTAAAAATATGGCCCTAAGTGACTCACTGAACATCACACAGGAAGTTTACGGATGACCAAGGGCTTGAATCCAAGTCTCCCAAATCCTAGGCTACTGCCCTCACCACTGGAACATCCTCTCTCTTGTATGCATCATCATCTTGGTAATTTTTGTATATTGTAATGAACTGGCTTGCGTCTGCATGCGAACATGTGTACTACCACCCTCTACTGGATGGAACCAGAACTGCTCAACTCTGTATCATGGGAACTATACTGTTAATAGTAAAATGTGATTCTCCTTTAGCAGGTGTCTGTGCCTTTGAAACAGGAAGATTTCAGTTGCAACCCCATTTATTTCATAAAGGTCTGAGTGGTCACTGTATGCACGAGGGTAATAACTGAAGTTTAGGTTGCCACAGATTAATAATGATATGTACGTGCTCTGAACTTTCTTTTAAATTAATATTTACTTATTACTAATGTGTAATCTACCACTCTTGTCAAATTGTCCTCTCCTTTCAATGCTTTCAAAATTAATAAACTGAAATGCAAAATCCTTTAGTTTCAGAAAAAGGGTCTGCATACTACTTAGACATATTAAACAGAAACAAGCACAGGTGTTCTCTTCTCTCCCTCCCCTAAGCTCTGCAGCCTCCCATCACTCATGCAATTTTTATGCAGGTGCTGTCATCCCTTTAACCTCTTTAATCCAAGCAACACCACCACCACCAGTATTTGCTGGGAGTTATTCCATAACTGCAAACAATACGTACTGTGGAGCAAATTTCTAAGAACTAATACCTTGGGCCACTCAGGGTGCATGATGTTTCATTGTGTCTTACAGTATGAACAGGGTGTGATGTTGTCTCACCATGTCATAGACTTACTGTGTCTTGCTTGGATAATAACTGGAAATTACAGTTGGAAAAACTGAGAGTGATTTTAGTTTGATGACTCCCTGTCAAACAAGTTTGGCTCATGCAAAAATCAAAGATGCTATGATAATCAAACCCCAAACTTTGAGAGAGGATGTTTGACTCAACCCACAAGCTGTCTAACTCCCTCCTTCCTTTCTAACTCCTGTCTTCACATCTTCTCCTATGAGTTCCCTCAGGACTGACTCAACTACCCCATGATGCAACTCAAACCCCACCCAGACCTGTTCTGTCATGCTTTCACCCTGTCTTCCTGCCAACAGCTCCTTACAACACACTTCTTCCAGAAGGCCTATGAACCCCAGTCCTCCCCTCAAAGAAGTGACAACAAAAGAGAGGGAGAGAGCAGACCAAAACCTGTGAAACTAACAATTAGGGGCCTCTATGATAATACAAATAAAGCATCATGGCTCAGTCAGTAGGCTTTCTGTGTCCATGTCTCACCCCCCACTCATCCTTCATCTAATCAAGACCAGAATTTCAAAAGGGCTCAGTCAATACTCACAACTGGAGTCAGATTTTCAAACAGAGAGTTCAGCTCCCATTCACGCAGATAAAAGAAGTGGCCAGATTTTCAACAGTGCCCAGCACTCAGCAGCTCCCATTAAATCTGTCCATTAGATTTTACTCTTCTTGGAGCAGGGGAATTTGTCTCCCATTTGCCTGTAAAAGGACTCTATCCTACCACTGGTGCTATATAAACAATGATAATAAATGTTTCTGGGTTTGACCCATCTCTACTAGTGGAAGGATTTACATAAAAACATATCCTTTGCCCTTCTGGGTAAGACTATAGGTACGCTGTTCATGTCTCGAACCATCACTGCAGTCAAACTGAAAGGTAAATGAGACGCCTGCATCCTGCCCACAGTTACACTGTTTAGACAGGCAAAGATCAGCTTTTACATCATTGGAGTGTCTTGTGGTGGGGAGCTGATAAGAAAGAGAAAGGCAGGCTCCATGATGGACTCAGCTGCCTCACTACCATAGTTGGAAATACCAGAGGTGATGCACTGGGTATTTACACAAGGAAGGTAAGTAACCGAGCTGAGACCCTGGGTATGTGCATGTATGGGGCGGGGAGTGAGGGGGCAATTAAAGGCCAGATTCTGACACTCCTACTCAAAGGGGGCTTATGTGACTGCGATGCGGCGCTCATTACCTGCAGCCCTCTCCGTCTGATCTCTGCCTGCAAAAGCCAGAATCTCCACCATCATCAGTAATAGATGTCGAGTCAGTCATTAACCTTCAGCTATAACTTCAACACACATAACTTCTTTTATAACACTGCTTAGTAAACTGCATTTCCACTACCAGCCAGAGCTCCCTGCACTTGAGGTTCCTTGTATGGTATCCTAGTAACCCAGCTTCCTATTGTGTGCGTTTCCACTTCGACAAACAAATCAAAATCAGGAAAACAAGCACATTACAGAAAAAGAAGCTGCCAGAATTACAGTATGTGCATGCACAAACATGCTTCAGAGCTGGAGTGGGTCATCTTGCAAATACTGACTAAGAGGCTCTCCAGCCCCATGCCTGTTTCTACCACACAGCAATATAAATACTACTTGCTATGTGCAGGTACATTAGAAGGGATATTGCACTTCAGGAAGATTCAAGGGAGAAACCACGTTTGCAGCAAAATATGTTTTTACATGTATACAGCTTTATGCAGCTCACGGATGAGCCATGCTAACAGCTCTCAAAAGGCTGCAGTCTGCCATTAGAGATGAGCTTATGCGTAATTTGCAATGAATAATTTACAAAATGTCTATAAGCATGTTAGGGGGCTTATTCCTGCACCCACTTACTTCCCTGGTCCTTCTCGCATGAACAGAGAGCAACAATACCCGAAGTCCAAAGGTGCAAACAATTCGATGTTTATTGGGGTGAACTTCCAGCAAGCATGATTCCAGTTTCCTTCCTTAATATCCTCCTTCCCAGCTCTGACACCACAGAGCCTTACACGTGTGTCCCTGTTCCCATTCCTACCCTTAGCCAAACATGATTCCAACTTCCTTACTCCCATTCCCTGTTCCCATTTCCCCCTTTAGCAAAACATGATTCCAATTTTCTTACCCCCATTCCCTGTTCCCATCTCACACACCCACATGCCCACCCACACCCACACCCCCACCCACACCCAGTCACTTCCTCATTGACTACAGATTATATAGTAAAACTTTAGTTCTGCTTAGCTATACCTTAACCAATCATTTCCTGAAATTTAACTAACCAATCCTAACATATTGTAACATGATTATGTAACCAATTATATCCCACCACCTCAATTAGTTTACACCCAGCAAAATTAATTATACAGCAGACAGGAACAATTACAGAACCAGACAGAGATTATACAGACAAACAACAGCAAAGTGGGAACTATAATGACAAAACAATACAGAAGTGAGGATTTCACATCCCAGCTATTGATAAGTGAGTTCTTGCCAGACAGGATGCTACCAAACTAAGTTTCCTTTTACATTTTCTAGGCACTTCCCTTCCTCTGGAGGTGATAGGAATACAATCCTGTCCTGATAGTGCCTAACAGCCCAATAGCACCTTATTTCAATGTGACTAGTTTGGAATGTGAGGATGTGACCGTTCGCTTCCCAGCTTATGGCTGCCTCTGCTGCTTAGCCAAAGGCCTGAGCCTAAGCACAGGGCCACAAACTGTCACAGTAAGAGAAGGCCCTTACACTGGCAGACAGTGGTTTTGATTCTTTCTTTTATACCTCTATCACTAGCCAAGTGATAAGAATACACCTAAATTCTTAGAGTATAGGCCTTTACAGACAGGCCTGAATATCTATATCCTAACAAAGCAGATCAAAATTTTCTGGAAATTTATTCATTACTGGCATTTCTCAACCAATTTCTTTTTTTTTTGCTTAGTGTTTTTTCTGTTGATTGATGGTTAATGGTTCACTGGGTTCGATACTTAACATTCTCTTATTCAAGCTCTGCTGGTGAGTTGTGACTGGTCACATAAGTCACCTGAGTATTCATTATGTTTTCTGATTGGATCAGCATAACTCAACATCAGGAGGCAGGGTCGAGAAACACACTAGAGATTCTCAGGATGGGTCTAGGCTAGAAAATTGCACTGGTGTGACTGACATGGTGCAAGCTGTAACAGTGCAGACCATCTTCACTGGGCATCCTAGTTCTGGGGCATACAGAGCACCATATCCATGCATGCGCGCACCACCACCATCACCCCCCCCACACACACACACACACAGAGCGTCACACAGCATTTGCTGCAAGTGCTGCAGGGTCTCTCAACACTTGCATCTACCCCACAACTCTCCATGTAGCTCCCTGCAGCAGGTACCTAATGTCAACAGAACACTTGCACCAGTTCACGACGGGTCTGTCCATCATGAGGAGCAGCATACTTGCAGGTGGCGGGGCAGAGAGTTGCCAACCTTTTCTCAAGCTGCTGCCAGGTGGAGTCTGGACTGAAGAACTTATTTCGTGCACCCTAGACACTTTTTTCCTGCTCAGCTTTGACCCCCTGTATCTGTATCTCTCTCTCACACACACACACACACACTCCTGTCACTTCCTAGGCACAGTCATTTCCACCCTACATTCCTAACATGTCTAGTTCTGCTGTTTAATAATCACATTTAACATACGCATTCTGCACAACTCATGGAGTTTAAAATGTCATTTGTATAATTCATCTTACATACACTGAACCCGAACCTCCACTGCTGTCAATCAGTCTCTCTCTGCTGAAATCAATGAAGCTACACTGATTTATACCAGCTGAGTATCTGGCCTGCTAAGTTGCATTTTAAAATAAAAAGTAGTTTAAACTTTAAATCCTTTAAAATCTTGTATGTTTCAGCTGGAAGACTACCAAGGCCTCCTATTACAAAGAGTTAAAAATGAGCCCAAGTGCCAGGAGGTTCTTCATTTTAGGATTCCGTGAAATGCCATTTACACCCACCTGTACATTGGCACATACAGACTCGGGCACTTGATACTTCATCTCACTGGCGGTTCGCTGAGATTTTGGCAACAGGAATGGGTAGGACAGGGATCTGTATTTGGGCTTCATGATCTTCAAAAGAAAAAAATGGAGGACACTGTATTTTAAAACACATTTTTTTCAGATTTTTATGTTGAAGACTATTACTGGTTTTTATGCTCCTCTCTTAATACAGAAAATTGGGGAGGAGAATGTAAAGTTTTTCATATTCATAAACTCAATTCCTGTTCTGAATAGTTCTGAAAATATTCATGAATTCTGTACTCTTCTGTGAAATGTGCTCTCAGTATCTTGAAATGTAACACTCATACCAAAAAGTCTGTGCAGATGTCAGGCTAACAGTATGTTATGTCTATTCTTTGCCATGCATTTGCAGTTTGAATGCACATTTGAATATCACTCAGGTTTTGGTCAGGGGAATATAACCATACGACCATCCTTGTTCTAAAGCCCCACCATAACTGGAAAGGACACTTTCTGTCTGAAAAAGTCATACTGATCGTTGTTCGAAGTAGGACCTAAGATCAGGGCTTAAAAAAGCGTAGTGGATATCTAGTTGCCTAAGCAGGCCTGCTCCAGAATGAACCCTGCCACTTCCCAAGCCAAACCACCTCCCTTCAATTGAAAGCATTAAAGCAGTCTCTAATCTTTAGGCAGTGATGAACTTCCACACAAGTATCAAAAAGCTTCTTCTCGGGGTGGGGAACAAACATCAAAAACAGAGGGGAGAGAGAGAAGGAAGAGGGAGAGCAAATGAGGAAGAACAGAGGGGACTCTGTTGCTCCATTAGTCACCATCTGCCTTGGCAATAGGGCCTACTGGCCTGGTCCCCAATGTGGGTTGCCTTCCAGCCTGCCCAAGGCTCCCTCATCATCACGGAGGGTCCTTAGCTGATGGGATCCTAGCCAGTCCTCTCCAGTGGTGAGGACCCTATGTGCTTGCTAGTTGAATCCTAGTGACTGGATTCCCAGTAGGCTAGAGCTCCTCTGGTGATTGGATCCTTGTTGCTCCAGGTTCAGGTTGGTCCAGAACACTGGCAGATTCCCCTGGTTTCTTGGCCCTGAAAATCCTGGTTATTGCTAGTTTGCCCAGGTGGCTGGATCACCCAGCTGTGGCTTTGGCCTGACGGCCCTGGTCTTCTTTGCTCCCTTTGGCTGTAGGATCACCAACTGAACTGCTCCGTGTGCCTGTCTGCTGCTTCGCAAGAGGGCACGTTATTGGCTCTTGTGCAGGACAATCTCCCTCCCAACCAGCCAGAAGGAACTGCGAGAATAGCAGCACAATGGCACTCGCCCCTTGGCTAACAACATCCCAGACCTCATTCTCCTGTCACACCATTTTCCACCTACTAAATTCAAATTATACCTTATTTACACTGGCGTAATAGGAGAATGAGAGCACCTATCTTCATTACTTGCCGTCAGAGTCAAAAGTTTTTCAGTGTTGCTGGGACATTAGGGCAAGCGAATATATACTTTACCGGCCCAATCTGGCAAATCTTGACTACCTGGCATAGCATTTATTCCTGCATATAGCCCTACGTGAGGCATCTGCGAAGCATTCAGATTTGAGGGCTTGCAGGACCTCTCTCATTGCACACCTACCTTTGTGAAGTTCCAGCGCTGAATAAAGTGTCGAGCAACATCCCGTGCAGCTTTGCCATGCACAACAGATGAAATATCATGCCATGGCATTCTGGGTGTGGTGTATCTGTCAATGAAATCTACATGGACAGGGAAAAATTGCTATAGTTCATCTCAGATCAGTATCAGACATTAGTTAAGAATATCACAGCATCTCTTCCTACAAACGGAACCTTTCCAGAAATAAAAACTAGCAAATAAGGAGTTAAAATTGGGGAAGATCAGCTTGTGGGGGCTGGTGGGCCACAAGCTCACTTACCCATTATTGTCATAGATATCTGTTTTTATTACCTTACTTTGGGATTCTGCTGCCTCTTCCCAGCAGCCAGACCAGGTGGGTCTCGTTAGCTCCAATTCAGGAGGGTAAAAAGGCAGAGAAGCCTTCTACGGCAGTAGAGGCGCTAGGGAATGAGACAAAGTGTCTTGCAGGGAAAAAAGTTGGTTCCAGATTGCAATGGCACTTACCAGCAAAGGGTTTGTCGAGTTGAACCCAGTCTTTAAAGACGAAATTGCAATAGTCCTTTCCATGCCAGAACCTGGTCTCCCCAAGAAGTTCTCCAACACCTGTCTTCAAGCTGCGGATTGATCCTTTATCTGTCACAGGTTTATAAAGTGACAAAAACATATGCTCTAAGGTTGTTTTTAAGACTGCTCTCAACACAGCACAGATGAGAATCACACTTGAATAGGAAACTATTGGCGTAACTTGCCAGTCTTAATAAGCTAAAGTAATTTTCCAGTTAAGTCTCTGTTTCCCTTTTACAGTATAACACATCTGGTACACAATCAAGGGGGATTATATAGACATGTTTTGTTACTGGTAATGGAAGCTAGATCTGAATCCTTTCTGCACTGGATTGAAAATTTACCCTTCAGCTATTTGTCATCCCACAATAACCTGCAAGGAAGGATACCTACACTGAAAGCATTAACAAGTGTAATTCTGCTCTCATATACCACTGACTTCAGTGGGAGGTGGGACTTTATATCTGTATGCAGAAGAGAATACTACTCCTGTATATTTAGTTTGTACTAAAGTATAAATTAACTCTAACTGCAACTTACATTTTATAGGATTCATGATTTTGACTCCACAAAAGGGTCTCTCCACTGCAATTTTAGCTAGCACAAAGATGGGTCTCTTCCCTTTTTCCAGTGCCTCTTTAAATAACAACTTCAGCTTCTGAGACTGTGTTACATGTTCAGCATGTGGATGCAGAATTTCAGTTTCATGGTGAAAACTAGGGCCTATCATCCTTGCAATGACTTACATGCAAAAATTACTCCCGTTCCCCCAACTCCTTTCTTGGGATGTACACCTCTTTTTGTGAATGCCATGAGCATATAAATGAGGAGTAGTGTGATCCCTTCCACCTCCCTTCTAAGAAAACAGGAAAGAACACAATGGATCAGATCTATGTTCTAACTAGTCCATATCCTGTCTCCGACAGTGGCCTCTATCAGATAGCTCAGAGAATAGTGTAACAACCCTGACTGGACAATTATGCCATAACATATCTACAAGGAAAGTAGAGGCTTGAGGCAAGAGGCTTGATGTCCCCTACACATTTTTATCCTATATATTTTATTTTTATATGATCTGGCCAAGGTTTACACTATGGGGATACTCAGCTCTCAGACAGTAACTAAGTATTTGGGATCAGTCACACTCACAGCCAAGATGAAGTGAAAAACCCTACCGTTATCTAGTTTCCCCTGCATTCTCCCATGACATGTATTCTCTCATGACAACTGACCTGTTCTGCACTGCCCCAGAGAAAGCACAATCTTCAGCAGCACAATCTATTGTCATTCCATGGATCAAAATACAGGTGATGCTGATATACTGATGATGTGCACTCTACTACCTGTCTCACCCATCCACAGAAAACTCTGACTTGGAGAACGACAGTGGCCAAATCTTCATCTAAATGTAGGTCTGGCAGCGTATACACTGTCATATTCATGAACTTTTCAAGGCTGTCTTCATGCACTAGGCTGACTTTAAAAAAAAAAATCCATTCTGGATTTAAAGGTGTTACTAATTTCAGTGATATTCCCATTACTTTGCATGAGGAATACAGCTGGAATGGGTGGAGCTGTAGAACCAGAGTGAAATTCCCAAGTCCACCTGCTGTAGTTGTTACATATTTATCTTCTCACTTATGCAGCTTCCTAGAGTCTTTTCAGAATCAGCCTGTGAAGAAAGTGATTCTGCGAGGGCCTCTTTAGAGGGGAATATGACAGAGCTTGAAGGTAATACATATACCAAAGGTGTAGAATGTCAATCCATAAGCCCCACCTAACTCTCACCATGACTGGACAGCAAACAGACCAACAGTAAAGCCTGCAGGTAACTCCACCTACGTGGCCCTTCACTTACCGTCCTCACACTCAGTGAGCCCTTGTTTGGACTCAGTGGGATGATGAAACATTTTCAGGTGGGGTTTTAAACTCTGGATTAGATTCTGCTGACTTCTACTAGGATTACAATAACCTGCAGAGAGTCAAGATGCTCCATTTACAGGGAAAGCGCATTAGAGATTTTACCATATGAGTTACGCAATAGTGTTTAAAATAACTTGCAGGACTTCAGTCTAATCAACTGTAGAGAGTCTGAATAGAACATTAATAATGGTACAATGACCATGGGCCAAATACAAGACCTATTAGATTTTTGAGCACAGATCGGCAAATATTCATGTTGCAAAACCACCACTAATGTATCTTCATATTCTGAACTGGCTCTGACCATAGGCAAAGCATTCTCCTGCATATCATTCCTACCAGAGACATGAGTAATCTTTGTAAAGTCTGAAATGCCCCCTAGCACAAGACCCCACCCAAAAACAGCTCTTCCACTGCTTCAGGCTGGAAGGCTCGCTAGTATGAATTCTGGCTTTTGAGTGCACCTATAGTGGCATCCTGTAACTTCAATCATGCATAGAAGTAAATGTTGCGTTCACATATTCAAATTTTGACCTGATTTTCCTCTCTCTAGCACCAGTGTAAATCAGGAATAACTCCACTGAGTTAAATGAGTTAAAACTTAGTAAAACCAGTGCAAGTGAGAGCATAATCAGGACCATAGTATCTTCAGAAATCCTGCTTCATTGGCTATAATGAATACGATGGAAAAATGCCAGTATCTCTGCTACAAATGTAAAACGTTCCTAGCACAAAATCCACGTACCTATCTATACATACATTATAGCACATAACACACCACATACACGACACCATATTATAGCATGGTTTCCTCATTTGTGGTCTGGGGCTGTCCCCTAACCAAACTGAATGCCATGCTTGTTTTGTGCCAGCTGTTTGTTAACTAAACACAGACACATTTAAAGGCAAACTCAAGGCTTCACTAAACAAAGTACCCTTCTAGCAGTTTAGGAAACCATTAAGTCTCCTCCCTAATTATACGCTCTGTAGGTAAGGCGGAAAAGTATTACTTACCCGACTCACTGTCTATACTGCTCACACTATCAGCATGGTGTAGGCCGTGCTTCTGGAGATGCTTATAAATGCTGAACCTGGAAAATTTTTTGGGTTTTCCTATTCCTTTCATTCGTGAAGAATCGAGTATGTCATCGCTATTTCTGTGCTGTAGCAGGTTCCCCAGGGGCTGAGTTTTCAGGGCTAAAGTTTCAGTGGACTCAGCTGTAGGCTTAAGACACAAAGAATACTGCTGAGGGTGATGAATGGAAGATTATCCATTTAAATTACAGGAGATCATTCATATCACAGGTATTGAAACATTCACAGGGCCAAGTTCTGCCCTACGACATGCAGACACAGCTCCCATCAATTTCAGTGGGAACTGAAAATGTGTCTCACAGAGATGAACTTGATGTAGTGACTATTGAGGCTTTGCTTAGCAGAAAACAAGTGAATAAAAACAGTGCATTCTGCCATACACTGCCTGTAAAACTATTCTGGCTTATTGCATATTTTCCAAAGGTCTTTATACACACAGGCTCCTTTTCATAAAAAAATAAATAAAAATTCTCTGTTTAATTCAGTCACACAGGGCCAGGTTTTCAAAAGAGCTCAGTTCTGTCTAGTCTACACAAGCTCAGTTCTTGTCTACACCACGCAGCTTTTAGCGACAAGGCTATGTCGACACAGCCTTGTTGCTAAAAGTCAGCGTGTGTAAACGCTCTTTTTCGGTACTTTGTCGGCACTTTTGCCAACAAAATACTTCCAGCGGCGTTAGCTTTCTCGGCAGGAGAGTGCTCCTGCTGACAAAGCCACATTCACACTGCCACTTGCTTCGGCAAAACTTTTGTCTTTCGCGTGGGGGGGGGGGGTTTAAGTACCTGTGAAAGACAAAAGCTTTGTTGACAACTTCGCAGTGTAGACAAGCCCTTAGGTACCTAAATAAGGGCCAGATAGCCAGAGGTATTCAGCACTCCGTTGTTCCCACTGTGACAAGTATGACTAGATTTTCCAAAGAGCTTAGCACCCAAGATGAGCTCCTGTGAAAACCTGGCTATTTAGTTTGGTGCCTAAATTGGAGCTGAATTGTTCTGAAAATCCCCGAAGGATCATTCAATGCTCAGCTACTGCACTCACTACACCTACAGCTATTCCTCTCCATTCCTGCCCTGGCCCTGCAGCTGAGCCACGCAGGTCTTAACTGGCACAGCCTTTCTGGCAGCTGAAGGATTTGGTCCTAATAAGGGACCCATTTTGTAAGCCACATTGAAGTCCACAGGAATCCTGCACATGCAAAGGCTACAGACTCATGCCCTAAAAATGCAGAGAGAAAGACTTGCTTATTTCCATTTTGCATGACAATTGCCTAGTGTACACAGCATTAAATGTTAACAGCCACATGTACAGAATTCACTCTTACTATGAGATTCACTGTCGATGTGGACTTTGTTCCTGCAATTCGTTTCACACTGCCAACGTCGGTCAGCCTGTGTTCATCATCATCCCACCTCCCATAGGCCAAGTCGATACCACCAACAAATGCTACAGACTGGTCAATGACAATGAGCTTCTCATGATGGGCCCAAAGGTACACTGAGGATGACACGTGATCTGGATGCCTCATCACCTAAATAAAGAAAAATCACTGAACTCAGCTCTTATGTAGAAGATCAGAAACAATTCTAACCAAGATATTATTTAATATCTTTGCCCAGAAGGCCATGGGGCTTTAATTTGACCCATAATACATACCAATGTCCAAACAAAGTGCTTTTTTTTTTTTAGGACTTTGTCTACATTAGACAGTTGTACCGTTTTAACTACACCGGTATAGTTAAAGTGGTACAAATCGCCTAGTGTGGACACATTTACAATGGTATAAAGGTGCTTTCTACTGGTACAGCTATTCCCTTTTAGGAAGGGGCATAACTATACTAGAATGAGTCACCTTTATGCCAATATGGCTGTGTCCACAGTAGGGCTTTTGCTGCTCTAAGTATTTCAGTAAAAAAGCTGGCCATTTCATTTGATAGTTAGTTTGTTGATGGCTATTTCAAACCAGAGTAAATGAGAGGAGAACCAGGCTCATTTTCTTTATTTCTGAAAATGAAAGAGTGTGATAGATAATTTCAACATTTATTTATTTCAAAGCATAACTGCAAACATTGACTTGAGTGGAGTCACGCCTGGTTTTAAAACAACGGGCGATCAGAACCAGGCCCAATATATTTTGGCATAAAGGGATGCTGAGGAATGTGGATATAAGTGCACATATTTTGGTATTTTTTTTAAGGCCAGACACTTAGCTAGCTCAGTCTGTGTGTGAGCAGAAAGGATGTTTCCTCAGACCCACATCCAAGTGTAACTTTCCACTTGCTCTAACTTCATTAACTTGCCATATAAAACAAAATTATTTTGAACTAGGTGAATGTTTTGTGGATTAATGGAACCTTGTCAAGGCTAAGCTAAATATATTTATATATAATTATAACTTAGAGGTACCTGAGCTGCCACAATCAAGTACAGTGCCCATTATAGAGTAGAACCAGATGTGGATCTGTCTTCAAAAAATATTCTCCCTTGTAATGGTGATTGCAAACTGCATTTCCCATTCATTGTCATGAGTTTCCTCATCTCTCCCCCAAATTTGGAAAGCTGGTGTTAGACACACAGGGCAATGAACATGCATGTATTTCATAAAGGTTACATGGAATATGAATACCTTGATGTTCGGATGTAGGCGCATTAGGGTCCGCTTGCTGTATTCACTGTTGATTCCTAGAGCAAGCTCCACCTCTTTGTAGAGCATTACAAAAATTCTCACTCCTTGTTGCTATTAGAAACGAGAGTAAATGCATGGCAAGCACATACTGAAATGGATATAACAACAACAAAAGCAAGAAAACCCCAGACTTCTGGATTCAGTGGGATGGTAAGCTAAGGGGAGTGCACATGTTGTTGTGGGAAAAGCTCAGGTTGAGATCATACATCCAACAGGTCAGTTCCCGGTCGGAGGCGCCGAGATTGATCCTGAAATGTGCTGAGCAATCTTTTTTTTCTGGCACAGGCTGATCTCACCTATGCCTAACTCAGACCTCTGAACTACAATGCCAAGAAAGCCAGCTCGCCCTGCCTGAATCTGTAAGATCAAGTGAGTGAAAACATTTTAGGTTTTTTTAGGATATTTTATTTGCAGGAATTGTTTGAGTGAAAATATCAAGACAGAGCCCTCAGCTTGTTCATTCCTAATACAGTGGAAGACTTCAGCTTCCCTTTTCTCTCTGCACTGCACTTCAGTGCTTCCCTGAAGAGTTAGCTGTTCAATCTGGACTTCACCGTGTGAAGCAGCAGTAGGCCTGGAGGTGCCATTATTCAAACAGATATTAATACAGTCCCTGCCCTGAAGAGAATACAACACAAGAAATAGCACCATGAGATTGTAAGACCACAGACATTGACTTTTAATGCATTTCCGAGAGACTGGACTTCAGGTTGCCAGTGTCCTTCAAATTGTGTAGGACTCCTCAAAGCCTTCAGAAGGGCATTATTGTGCAGATGTGTTTCAGAACATGTGCTACATGAAAAATATTTCATTTTGAGTCAGCACCAATCTTACAACAGGTTCCTTTACTTTACACACTTCTAATGTGCCTTTTGGAGGCTCAGTTTTGCCACCCTGACACATACTGAATACTATCTTCCTCTACATCTATCTTCCATTGGCTTGCATATTTCTCTTAGCACAGTTTGGCCACACATATGGGGCCAGATCCTGAGCTACTGCAAAGCAGTGTAGCTCCATTTACTTCAGTGGAGCTATGCCAATTTACACAAACTAAGGATCTTTCACACTGACTTAAAAAGCCACTAACCTGCATTTCTCTAAAGCTTCTATTAACAGTTTAGACCCTCTCCATGTTTTGGGCCATATTCTACCCATCAAGCCAATGGCCAATGAAGTCCAGTGAAGTGCTTTGTGGACATCAGAGTATAGCTTTGCTCCTACACAGTTACCAGCCACTTATGGGCCCACGTGTGTCAATTATTTCTTCTACACACTACGCAAATACTTTCATGCTATTTATAGCAACAGGACACCTAGGTTGATAGGAAAATAAAGCTAGATTCTTTCAGTGGGCATGACCTGTAGATATGCTCCAACTGCCATAAAACAAGAACATGGACCCTTGGGCAGACGAATGGTCCATCTATCCCAGTATCCTGTCTTCCAACAGTGGCCAGCGTCAGATGCTTCAAAGGGAATGAACAGAACAGGGCAATCATCCAGTGATCCATCCCCTGTTATCCAGACCCAGCATCTGACAGTCAGAGGCTTAGTGACACCCACGGCATGGGAATGCGTCCCTTACAATCTTGGCTAATAGCCACTGATGAACTGATCCTCCATGAACTTATCTAATTCTTTTTTGAATCCAGTTATAGTCCTGGCCTTCACAACATCCCCTGGCAACGAGTTCCACAGATTGACTGTGCGTTGTGTGAAGTACTTCCTTTTGTTTCTTTTAAACCTGCTGTTAATTTCACTGGTGATCCCTTGTTCTTGTGTTATGTGAAGGGGGTAAATAACACTTCCTTATTCATTTTCTCCACTCCATTCATAATTTGATAGACCCCTACCATTACCCCCCTCAGTCATCTCATTTCCAAGCTGACTCATCCCAGTCTTTCTAATCTCTCCTTATATGGAAGCTGTTCCATACCCTTAATCATTTTTGCTGCCCTTCTCTGTACCTTTTCTATTTATATCCTTTTTGAGATGGGGCAACCAGAACTGCACACAGTATTCAAGGTGTGGATTTATATGGTGGCATTATGATGTTTTCTGTCTTATTATCTATCCCTTTCCTAATGGTTCCTAACATTGTTGGCTTTTTTGACTGCTGCTGAACACTGACCAGATGTTTTCAGAGAACAATCCACAATGATGCCAAGATCTCTTTGTTGAGTGGTAATAGCTGATTTAGACCCCATTATTTTGTATGTATAGTTGAGATTATGTTGTGAGATCCCTTTGTAACTCTTCGCAGTCTACTTTGGACTTAACTATATTGGGTAATTTTGTATCATCTGCAAACTTTGCCACCTCACTGTTTATCCTGTTTTCCAGATCATTTATGAATATTTTGAACAGCGCTGGTCCCAGCATAGATCCCTGGGGGACACCACTATTTACCTCTCTCCATTCTGAAAACTGACCATTTATTCCTACCCTTTGTTTCCTGTCTTTATAACCAGTTATTGATCCGAGAGGACCTTTCCTCTTATCCCATGACTCCTTATTTTGCTTAAGAGCCTTCTGTGAGGGATCTTCTCAAAGGCTTTCTGAAAGTCCAAGTACACTATATCCATTGGATTGCCCTTGTCCACATGTTTGTTGACCTCCTCAAAGAATTCTAATAGGTTGGTGAGGCATGACTTCCCTTTACAAAACCCGTGCTGACTCTTCCCCAACAAATGTTTATCTATGTATCTAATAATTCTGTTCTTTAGAATCATAGGACTGGAAGGGACCTAGAGAGGTCATTTAGTCCAGTCCCCTGCACTCATGGCAGGGCTAAGTATTATCTAGACCAATGTTCTCCAGCCTTTTTACGCACAAGATCACTTTTTGAATTTAAGATGAACCCAGGCTCTACCCTTCGCCTTTCCCAAGGTCCTGCCCCTTCCCTGAGGCCCCGCCCACTCACTCCATTCTCCCTTCCCTCTGTCGCTCGCTCTCCCCTACCCTTACTCACTTTCACCAGGCTGGGGCAGTGGGTTGGGATGTGGGAGGGGGTGCAGGCTCTGGGCTGGGGCTGAGGGATTCTAAGTGTGGGAGGGGGCTCCAGGCTGAGCCTGGGGCAGCGGGCTGGGCTGCAGAAGTGAAGGGTGCAAGCTCTGGGAGGGAGTTGGGGTGCATGCGTCATATGGTCACACTGTACACAATCTCATAGAATCCACTGGACATTTCATGAGTTTTACTTTTTATTAGTGTCATTTGTGGTTTATAGATCCAAAACCCTTCAGGGATTGTCACAAATCAGTGTAACATTCTCAACTATGGGGTGTGCATTGGCTGAGTCTGGGGCAGGGGGTTGGGATGCAGGAGTGAGGGGTATAAGCTCTGGGAGGGAGTTTGGGTGCAGAAGGGCGCTCCAGGCTGGGGCAGAGGGTTGGGGTGCAGGAGAGGGTGAGGGGTGAAGGCTCTGGGAGGGAGTTTGGTGCGGGGGGGGGCTCAGGGCTGGGTCAGAGGGTTGGGGTGCAGGAGGGGGTGAGAGGTGTGGGTTCTGGGAGGGAGTTTGGTTGCAGGAGGGGTTCTGGGCTGGGGAAAGGAGTTGGGGTGCAGGAGGGTGTGTGAGGTGCAAGCTCCGGCCAGGAGGCGCTTACTAAAGGCGGCTCCCGGTCAGCAGTGCAGCGGGGCTCCATGCTGGCCCCATGCTGCTCCCACGTCTCTGTGGCCCCTGCAGGGAAAAGGGGACAGTGGGTCTCTGTGTGCTGCCTGCGCCCACAAGCGCCACCCCCGCAGCTCCCATTGGTCAGTTCCACAGAGATGTGCCAGCAGCCAGCCACTTCCGGGAGTGGCATGGGGCCAGGGCAGGCAGGCAGCCTGCCGGAGCCCCACTGCGCCGCCAGACTTTTAGCAGCCCGAAGATTGCGATCGGCTGGCAGAGGCTCCAGGATCGACTGGGTTGGTGACCACTGATCTATACCATTCCCGGCAGGTGTTTGTCTAACCTGCACTTAAAAATCTCCAATGATGGAGATTCCACAACCTCCCTAGGTAATTTATTCCAGTGCTTAACCACCCTGACAGTTAGGAAGTTTTTTCTAATGTCCAACCTAAACCTCACTTGCTACAATTTCGGCCCATTGCTTCTTTTCCTATCCTCAGAGGTTAAGAACAACGATTTTTCTCCCTCCTCTTTGTAACAACCTTTTATGTACTTGAAAACTGTTATGTCCCCTCTCATTCATCTCTTTTCCAGACTAAACAAACACAATTTTTTCAATATTTGCTCAAAGGTCATGTTTTCTAGACCTTTAATCATTTTTGTTGCTCCTCTCTGGACTTTCTCCAATTTGTCCACATCTTTCCTGAAATGTGGCACCCAGAACTGGACACAGTACTCTCTTTGAGGCCTAATCAGCGCAGAGTAGAGCAGAAGAATTACTTCTCGTGTCTTGCTTACAACACTCCTGCTAATACATCCCAGAATGATGTTTGCTTTTTTTGCAACAGCGTTACACTGTTGACTCATATTTAGCTTATGGTCCACTATGACCCCCAGATACCTTTCCGTAGTACTCCTTTCTAGGCAGTCATTTCCCATTTTGTATGTGTACAAATGATTGTTCCTTCCTAAGTGGAATGCTTTGCATTTGTCCTTATTGAATTTCATCCTATTTACTTCAAACCATTTCTCCAGTTTGTTCAGATCATTTTGAATTTTAATCCAAACCTCCAGAGCACTTGCAACCCCTCCCAGCTTGGTATCGTCCGCAAACTCTAGGAGTGTACTCTCTATACCATTATCTACTTTACCATAGTTATCCATTGACTATAGTTTCAACCAATTTGCCTGGTACTGATGTTTAGCTTACCAGCTTGTAATTGCCAGGCTCGCCCCTGGAGCCTTTTTAAAAAATTGGCATCAGATTAGCTATCCTTCAGTAGTCTGGTACAGAAGCTGATTTAAGTGATAAGAAAATCATTTTAAATTAATAAAGTTCTTTAGAGAAAATTAAAGAAGCAAAATGTTTGTCTTTTTTCTTTTGGCTACTAAAAGGACTATTGTGGAATGGGGGTATCAAAGATTATTTTAAGGCTTCTGCCCCTTTCACAGATGACTGTATGATCTTCAGTTGGCCATGCCTTCCTACTGAGTCACTGGTAATGTCTTCCAAAGCAGAACTCAAGTATTTTCGTTAGTTGGACCAGGGCAAACCGGCTGAAAATGCAGTCCAGCATTATAGAAAATCACGCTTGGCACCTCTTGTCTGTGGCTCCATTGCTCATCCAGAGACATGAAAAAAGAAATCTTCAGGCTGAATACACAGACCTGTTATTGCAGGAGAAACATTCTGGAACTGACAACAAATGCATCACTCTATTTTCCAATCTCAATAGCCAATGAGATTTCTGAGATACTGGAGAAATTAAAACTAACAAGTTCAATAAGTCTGGTGGTGCTGTTCCTTGTCCCTAAGTGCTAACACACATGTTTGGAAGCACATCCTTTCAGCATCTCAAAGCATCAGTCGTACAAAAATACTACACTGGACACAAGGAAGGGCATCAAGTCATCAGCAGTTTGAAATGCTTCAAACAAGGACAGGGAGAGAGAGAGAGAAAGAGATTACAGTAGAAGGACAAGTCTTAAATATAACAGAGCTATCCGAGCATAGAGGCCTGCTATGCACCCATTTGCTTATTCTGCCTCCATTGAAATGTGAATCAGAGTTCAGGACTCTGAGTCATCTTTATGATTATATTGTCTGCAAGTTCCACATCACATCCAATTCAAAGGAACCTGACCTGATTGTACATGTTCATATCTTACATCATTTATACTTTTAAAACCCCCTCAATTCCCTCTAATGACACTATGTACTTGGGTATAACATCCTACCACTCCCCTGCCCCTCTCGGCTTATCGGCAATGGGAAGACCATGCGGCTCCTGCTCCCCTGCTTACAGCTAGAGTCACAATCTGAGCAGGGCTAAGCAGGAGAGTAAGGGCTGGCCTGACACAACTGGCCTTACTCCCCTTTTTGACCAAGCAAAGGATGTGATAATCTAGCCCATGATAACGTAGGGATGGGGGAAAAGGAATGATATAGCAGGATAGGGATAGAAAATGAGGGTGAACTACCAAAAAAGAAGTTCCCAGTGTTTCTCCAGTCACATTAACACAAGTCACATTTAGAGGGAGAAAGTTTATCACCTTCCTGCCTTTTTTTGGCTGGGGCCTTGTCTACACAAGTCTTCACTTCACTAGAATTCCTCCCGGTTGCTCTCATTGGTGCAGTCAAACCAGCAGTAGCAACAGCGAGCTTGCTGGTGTATCCACGGCTTCAGACAGCCCCAGGCAATTTAACAACTCTCACTAAACCTGCTCTGAGCAGGGCCTGGGTGGAGCTGCACTGGTGCTAACAGGGTTGGGAAATGCTAAGAGCAAGTCTATTGCAGATAGGCGTTTCCTTACTAAAATAAGAAATATCCTAGCCTGCACGCAGTAGCTCACTGTTGTAGTGCGTGACTTTCAGTCATTAAACTGCTTCAGCTAAGACCTCTAGATGTACACAGAATGGACCCATTTAGCATAATTCATCATTACAAATTAATAAGCTGATGATAAGCCCCCTCTAGTTTAGATACAAGTTATACCACCACTGCATGACTCTCTAAGGAGATCTTTATCTCCTTGGAAGGTGGGTGGCACCATCAGCAATTTAATAAGAGCCAGTTTTGGAAGCAGATGCATATCTCACCATCGATGGAAATAACATGAATGAAGGGCACTGCCTCTGCATCGCCAGCCCTGGCAGACTGGTCACCGCCATGGGCCAAGTGTAGCCCTGGTGTGACTCCAGTAACTGCAGTGAGAAGCCTAGCCCAATGTCTCTTAATTACCTACACCGAAGAGAGAGAAGAGCTCGGGGGCAGAGCATGAGCAGCTGTATCAATGCCCCAGGAACCTGGAGCAGCCACTGGGGGAAGAGAGAAACAGCTCCTCCCCTATGGAAGAAAAGTTGTTGGGGGTATTTAGGAAGTCTCACTGGTGCTATGCCCTGGCATCCCCACAACTCTCCATCTGAAAGCTGAGCCAGCTGAAGAACGTAAGGAATGAAACACCTCCTCCCTCCAAAAACTGCAGCAGAGCGGGGTGCAGTGCTGAATGTTGCTCAGCTGGTTGGCTACCAGCCCTGGCCCTCAGCACTGAGCTTCCCATTCCCTCCTCCCCTTGCATCTTCGATCTGTTGCTCCTCTCGCTGGCCCTGTGCCCTTGCAATGACGCACGAGTCTACCTGGGTGGGGCTTCTAACTGCACACAGAAAGCGGGAAGGGCAGGTCACAAAAAGGAGCAAAGCTGCACTTTGAGACCCCCAACCCTGCAAGGAGCTGCATGAAGCTGCCCCGCGCCTGCCTGGAGCCTCATCATGGGGTTCACAGCAATCAGGGCCTAAGCTAGCCCATAGGCACATCCCTCTTACCGCTTTCCTCTTTAGAATGCAGTCTAGTCTCCAGCGATTTCCTTCTACCACAGGTCGCTTCATAAAGATTTCTGGGCTCAGCCTAAAAAAAAAAAAAAAAACAGATGACAAAAAGAAACATTCTGTGCTGTGAAAACTTTGTGTAAGGTCAACTAATCCAGGGGTTCTCAACCTTTTTCTTTCTGAGCCCCCCCCGACCTCTCCCAACATGTTATAAGAATTCCACGGCCCACCTGTGGCACAACAACTGGTTTTCTGCATATAAATAACAGGGCCTGAGTTAGGGGGTAGCAAGCAGGGCAATTACCTGGGGTCACATGCCACAGGGGCCCCTGTGAAATTAAACTGCCCAGGCTTTGGCTTCAGTCCAGGGTGGTGGGGCTCTAGGCCTTGGGCTTCAGTCCCAGGCGGTGGGGCTTAGGCTTTCTGCTCTGGACCTCAGCGAGTCTAATGCTGGCCTGGCTTGGCAGACCTCCTGAAATCTGCTCGCGCCCTCCCACGGGGCCCTGGACCCCTGGTTGAGAACCGCTGAACTAATCAACTCCAATAATGGCAGAGAAACTAAAGAGTTTATTCATTAGGTGTGAAGTCTGCTCTCCAACAATTAATTTTTTTACAGAACTGTTATTATTTGCTTTTTAACAATGGTGCCGTATACAACAGCTGATATGTCCCATGTGTAGCACAGAGGCCAACGACCTATCATCGACAGAGATCAGGTTATTGCTTTCAGCACCCAGTGGGACCAAGCTGAACGGGGATGCATAAGGTAGACTCCATATAGAAAAGAGTAAGTTCTCATGCAGAAAAAAATATACTCCTGGTAGATAACTTGGGGGTTAAAAGAAAACACTCAGGACTCCAACCCTGCTGACACTTAGACTATTTGAAGATTTCAGACTTGCGCAGTTTTTTCCTTGCTACCTACCGCACAAGATAGGGTGCCATTCTTTCACATCAGGATAGCATTCGCTGATACACAGGTTTTAAGGCCAGAAGGGACTGTTAGATCATGCAATCTGCCCTTCTCTATAACAAGACCACAGAATTTCATCCAGTTACTCCTGTATTGAGCCCAGTAACTTTGACTAAAGCATATTGCTGAAAACATGCTTCTGACAGCAACATTTCTCTTCCTAAGTTTTTGTAATTTCCCAGTAAGTTTCACAATCCCAAGCTATGATAACAATTGACTCTTGCCTTGTATAAGGCAGGAGACACAGGGACTGAAATGTAATTTTCCAATTGTCTGACACCGTATGTGCTGAAGCTTCAGCAGCATATGGTTTATTTATAGGCATTTTAGGATTCAGATTCATGTCAGTGAGGGTTAATATAATGCTTTGCATTCCCATAGGACCGTTGAGAACCAAAAAGTGTTTTGCAAACATGACTGGGTCAGACTCAAAACACCCCTATGAGGTAGAGAAATAATTATAGGCCCATGTTATAGATGAAGAAACAGAGGCACAGAAATGTTAAGTGACTTGTCCAAGGTCAGACAGCAAAGCTATCCAGACATTCTAACTTCTAGTCCTGGGTGTTGATCACAAGACCGTCCTTTCTCAGGTAGAAGGCGTACCAGCTGCAAGTACAAGATAAAGCCTGCCCCGACAAGGAAGTCGCTGAGGCTAGTGTGTGATACTGAGCAGCCAAGCAGCTGGGGAACATGGTATAAGAAGAGGCGTTGGTGGTGTGTGCTGAAGCTCATGACAGATGGCATCAGCAAGATGGCACACCAGAAGCTGGCAAGAAAAGTACAAATGGCCAGTATTGGAATTGCATATGCACAGCACGCACCAAAGGGGGGTGGGGGTCACAACATGGCCCATCCTGCAGCCGCACACATCCCAACAGAAGATTTCAGTGGAGCCCTTCCTGACTGCTTCCTTGCAGCCTCTTCTTTAACATGTGTGGGGATTCCATTACGGAGGTACACGGCCACACAGCTACAGCTGAGCGGACTGCCCACTCTGCCTCTTGCTGACCTGAGTCACAGCCACACCCAATGGAAGATAAATACCTCCTCTAGGGTGTGCACTGCAAAGCATCTATTTTCTAAGCTGCATCATCATTCACACAACTTTTATAAGCAAACTTCAGGATTTTGCCCTCCATGGTTAGTAGTGGCCTGCATTAACCACAGGGCCTGACACATACATGGACTATACACAAGGAACCAGAAATCCCCAGCAACATCCAGCTGTGACGCTGCACCCCCACAGTCCTAATAAAAATATTGTTGTAATATGAATATGGCATAACTAAGATATGTTTTATGTGAAATGGGTCATGTGAGGTATCATTGGAAAGGTTATGATTTGCTCAATGTGGTTATCCAATTTGTATGCATGTTCTGTACCTGAGGTTAGTAATACTGACTTTGTAACAATTACAACTGTGCGTGCTCTTGGGGAACGCCCACCAGACAGTAGGCAATCAGCCTGAATGGGCCGTTAGGATAGACAATAGAACGGGTCTTTGAAGATGCTGATTTCTCATCTTCCTGGAGTTCGTTCCTTCCATTCCCCTAATTACAAATAAACCTTGTCTCATAGTGGCTTTAACACTGCAAGGTCATGTGATAATGTCACCTGGTATGGAGTACCACCTTGGACACTCCTGGTATTTTTCCACTGGAAAAAAAGAATTCCCACCTTACGTAAATCCTATTTAAGGCTGGGAAATAAGTCAAGCATCGCTGTTCTCCATTGCCTCCCCGCCCAAGAAGGAAGACTACTGAAAGCACCTGAAGAAACAAAGGAACTAATCTGGGGAAAGGCAAGGGCTAAGTCCAGGCTGAGACAGGGATCTAGCCTATGAAGAGAAATATCTGGAACTCTAAGCTGCAGAAACTCTGCAACCTGCCTAAAACAACATTTAGGGTGAGAAATTACCATTTGTAACCTGTTTCTTTAGCGAATTAAGCTTAGGTTGCATGTTTTGTTTTATTTGCTCAGTAATCTGCTTTGTTCTGTTTGCTATCCCTTATAATCACTTAAAATTTACCTTTTGTAGTTAATAAACTTATTTTTTGTTTATTTCAAAACCGAGTTTGTGCAATTCATAACTAGGGGGAGGAGGGTTGGCAAAGAGCTGAGCATATCTCCCTCCATATTGAGGGAGGGGGCAATTTTTATGAGCTTACGCTGTATAGATCTCTATATAGCACAAGACAATATAATTTTGGAACACTCCAGAGCGTGTGTGCACAGGAGATCTGGGCATTCCCCTAGCTGAGCCTTCCCACAGACAGCTGATCACAGGCTCTGTGTGATTCTACAGCTGGGTGGGTCCCTGCCTCTGTGTGTGCTGGAAAGGGGCTTCAGAACCTGTCACAGTAACACAGAGTAAGGGAAACCCAGGCTGGTTGGACAGGTGGGCTCAGTGGGACCCCAGCACATCCGGTGGCACCCCGAAAGTGGGGTCCAACCCATCACACCAGCTACAGGAGAAAGAGATCCAGCCAAGGCACTCTCAATCCCAATAACTACTCCGCTGTGGAAGTTGGGTGGGTGCAGAAAAATGGTCTCTGCCTCCAACTGTAAACGTTGCACAGCAAAGGACAATACCTGCTAAATGAACAGCATAGGGCTACATTATGCTTAAGTCTTATACAGGTGTGCCATGTGGAGGAGTGAGAGCTGAGCGGATCTGCAGCCCCTAATTACTCCCCTCAGAGGTCCACCCAAGGACGGGGAGGGGGAGGGACAAAGATTTGTTACCCCAGGTGGCAGTCAGCAGAGCTGGCCTGCCATGCAATGTGGTGGTAGGGGAATGTCCTGCATTGCCTAATTGGGGTACAAATTTGTACATTCCCCCTTGTGTTGGGAGATCTTCTGCTTCCCCGAGACATTCCTAGGGAGTTCTCAGGGAGGCCATGCAGCCCCGTACCACTCTCAATGCAGGTGGTGCCTCACTGTACCATGCAACCCTTCAAGATTATCCCTCAGAAGGAGACACCCAAACTGATGATTTTAAGCATGCACTATTGCTGCCAAGTCTCCTGAAAAGGCCTTTGAATGAAAACCCTCACTGTGAGAGGTTTGGATGTGCTGCCAGACCATCTGGCGTCACTGTTAGTTTCCATACTGTAAGGCCTTTGAATAGTGCAGCATTGTAATGCACATTCTCACAGAGAGTGCTGGACAAAATCCAAATGAGGGAATACGAACCACCAATCTGTGATGAAAATTTCTTCTTTCGCTGCCTCCATGGCATCTGCTACATCTTCAAAATACCCTTTTGCATTTACATACCTGGAAAAAACAAACACACACAATACTTGGATTTTTCTTTTAATCACATGGAGAATTCGTAGTTGTGGAAAAAATTTTAGTACTCTAAACTAGCAAATGAAAATATCGTTTAAATGCCTTTCTCAAAAGAAAACACATTCAATTTCATGCACTAGGACAACATGTAAGGAGAATTTCACATCATTGTTAATATCTTAATTAAACCAGTACAATCAAATATTGTTATGGCAACAGGCATGACCTGGTGACCCTGTTATATGTAGTGTTCCATATTCTTTTTTTCTTAGTGTGTGAGCAAGTTTTGACTCTTGGAAAGATATGTAGCGGTGATGTTTGTTTTGGATTATGCAAGATTTTGACATAGAGGCAGCTTCAGGGGATAGATGGAGCTGTGTGAGTAGCAGGAGAGGTTGCTCTCTGCCTTGGGTTATGATTGGAGTCTTTGAGACAGAGTTCTCTGGGAACCAGACAGCAGAATAGGACTAAGAGCTGTGGAAGGAGGGGGTTGCTCTGCATGCTGTTTGACCACCTCATTTCAGAACTGGTGCATGTGCATCAAAAAAAACAAATTACACTTAGAATATACACAGACTCCATGTCACTGATTTCAACCCACTGGGAAGCCCACCTGCAAGATCCCAGATACGTGATACCATTCAGCAGTGGACTGATACCACTGTCACAATGGGGCCCAGCTTTCAGGAGGGGCAACACTAGAATACAGCATTAGGGTTGGACCCTGCAAACACTTTCTACTGGATGTTGTGTTTATTTCTCTCATTTGAGATTGGGGAAGATGTGACCATGCCAGAATCAGAGGAGCTGCTTTATGGAGAGGCTGTTGAGAAGGGAGATGAAAGAGGTGCAGGATGAAATTTTCAAAAGCACCTAAGTTACTTAGATGCTTTTGAAAATGTTACCCAAAACCAATAGTCAAGCTAAGAGGTGAAAGTAGCAGCTTCTGAAGTAAGGAGAGTGTTCTGTTCTCCATTCATAAGCATACTGTTTACTTTGCTAAGCTTTACTATGAGTTACATGTGCATCAAGATATCACTTTTATTCTGAAATTTAATAAACCACTAATGTGTCCAATCTCAGCAAAAATAAAAAAAATCTAGAAGCTCTGACCATTGCAAAGCAAAGTCATAACAGGAGCAAAATGGTTAGGCTACTAACCCTAACATTTTTCTGCAGGAAAGATGCATCTTTGATACTCCCATAGTGATTTATAGTGTCTAGTCAGTGAATTCAAACACCCATGTTCTTTAAATGTGAGTGATAAATCAGTAGGGCCATGACCTTGCTCCCACTGAAGAGAATGACAGCTTTGCCATTGATTTCAATGGGAGATAGAGCACATTCTTACTACTGCAGGGACCATCTTACCACTTTGCCAACGTATTCTGCTGTATAGCTGCATATGACCCAAATCTGTGATGTGTTAGAAAGTTTTTGCCATTTTTGTGAATGAACTCTTCTATTCCCTGTCCCCACCACCGGGCATGTCTGTAGCTGTTACACTTCAAAATCAATGACCTGGAAAATAACCAAAGAACAGAAAACAATGAGTAAGCAGCACACTCTTATTTAGCCTAGTTCTCACTATCGAAACATGTTGATATGGGAACTGAATATCAATCACATTTTGTTTAAGCAAAAGTGACCAATAGCCAGCTACCTAGCTAATAGCCAGCTACTTAGCCGAGGTTTTTTTAAAAAAATATTTCAGCACCTAGAGACCACAGTGACTGACAACCTATAAAAACAATAGATAGATATTACCGACACGTTTTGCACACCATGGACCAAATGTTTCTTACACTGGTGCAACCCCATTGATTTAAATGAGATAGTACTAGTATAACTGGGAGCAGAATATGAGATCATGGATGCTAAAAAAAAAAAAATTAAATGAGCATTTACATCCACCTGAGAAACTGTCTCATTGATCTGGATACTTCTCTCACAATAATAGGATGGCAGGATTCTTCTGGCATTCCTCCCTGTTAGATGGGGTTGGAACCCTGAAGGGAGATGCTCATTAAACCATGCTGACTCACTGTAGCAGGTGCAAGTTGCTAACACATCCTGCATATAAGGGAATGGCCCCCTTTTAATTAAAAGAAGCCAATTTTTAAGTGAAAAACTGGCATAAAAACTGGTCAAAATAAAATATGCATTTCTCACCTGGAGAGATTGTCAATCCGCAACCCATATTCTGTTTCAGTCTCTTTTTTGCCAATCTTAATGCTGAATTCTTTATCTACCAGCAGGACAAAGGAAATGGCTCCGCTATCCATCTTCATGTACATTAGGAAAGAGTCTTTCACTACTAACCACCTATAAGGGGAGACAACATTCATCTCAAATTCACTTCAAAAATGAGAGCCATCCAATAATATCAAGTGAACAGCGGTCCCCAGGAGAGAACTCCAAGCCATTCGTCATCAGGATCCGAAGCAGGCAAGGAAGGGTTTGTGACCCATTAGGGGCAGTTTCTTTGCAATATGGTTTAGAGAGCTGGTGTCTGATTGTGCTCTCAGAGTGGAGTAAAACAGGAGTAACTCCACTAAAGTTAGTGGAGAAATGAGAATCAACCTCTGGAGAGGTGATTACAGCAACGGATGGTATACAAAACCCTACATCTGGACGCTCAAATCAGCAGTTAAGTGAGAGGAAGGATGGTGCAGTGGTTAGGGTGTTAGATGGGGACCTGGGCAACCCGAGTTCCATTTTCTGCTTTGCCACGGAGTCCCTGTGTGACCTTGGGCAAGTCACTTAGCCTCTCCGTGCCACAGTTTCCCCATCTGTAAATCAGGGATAACAGCACTGGGATAAATACATTAAAAATTGTGAGCTGCTCAGACACTACAGACCTGGGGCCTATATAAGTATGTACGATAGATACAAGTCCATTTTATGCACTTGAATGGTGATGTGCACAACCAAATTCAGGTATGCCATTACAGTGGGAACCAGGTTCTGTATGACCACCTCCTGTATAAGTCCTTGGAAATTTAGGCTTTAGTGTCTGGGAACATTAATAGGAATATACCTGTTGGCCATCAGGGGTTTCCAGCCAAGTGCCTGCGTAATGGACAAGGTGGAGCAAAAATTCTCTTCAGCCAAGAATATTATTTTAGTAGCCTGCAATACCTGTGGGCACTGTGGGAGCAGCACACTCTAGTTTGAGTTTCTCATGTGTTATTTATAAAGGCCCTGAATCCTATTAAAGCTAATGGAAAGTGTACAAAGAGGACATTTTGGAAAGGTTTCATTGCCAAGCAACAGGCATCACAGTAAAAAAACAAGATGAGAAATGACTAGCAGGTTGTGTGTGAGCACCACAGCCCTCGAGCACTCTGGAAAAAATATTTCTCTGTCAGCATCCAAGTATTTTTTCCCTCTCTGTATACATAGATATGAATGATGTGCCTAACATCCTCCCTCCTCCACACACAAACGAATCAGTCACATGGCCTTAGTCCAGATCTTTGTCCATACAAATGAATGTACAAGGAAACCAATTGCAAAGACATATTAATTACTGTATCTTTCATACCAACCTGAAGTGTTATGTTGCTGGGCCCAAGTCAGTTCCATTACTCCATGTTCAAACTGTGCAGTGCTCGCAGGTTAGTTTTCTGAGCATGACACTCATCACATAGTAACAGGGCATAGTCAGGGCCAGCTTTAGGAATATGGGGGCTCTAAAGCGGTTATTATTGAGGGTCCTGTGCTTTTCTTTTCTCCTCCCCCTTCCCTAGACTAAGACTAGCCATAGTAACCAACATGTTAGATAACAACAGACTCCCCCCTCTCACATCGAATTTGGGCCCCCCCATAAAATCAGGGGACCCCTGTCCCCTCGCTCACAGACTCCATGGGTCTCGCATATATATTGATCATGAAAACAGAACAGAAACACAGGCGGCTCTGCTGACTTGTAAAGCAGCCCTTAAAAGAAGGAGCACTGCCTTTCTTACAAGCCAGCCAGAGTGTGCTCAATTTGCTTGTAACGAGGCGCTGGTCTCACAACCAAGTTGAAAATTTAACAGCTGAACTCCTCAGCCATATGACATTACAACAGAACCGACTTATAATGCTTTTGCATACCTAAAACAACACGAACAGTGAAGTAGAATGAACAAACATCCCAATGCACCATAATATGCAAAAAGAGTAACTGGGGTTATAGAGAACTGCCACTTGTAGTGAAGCTGTTCGGTGAAAACAATGATTTCAGTGTGACAGGGTCGCACTACATTCAAAACAAGATCTTTGCATCATGTTTTCATACTGAACTGAATTGGGGCTTTGTGATGTGATTAAGGACAGCCTGATGTTTGTCAGTGACAGAGGAAAGAGTTGGGAATCCCAAAACCTTGACACAGCTCTTTTAACTACTTGGCACTAAACAAATTAGTGCAGCCACCACTGGAAGGTGTATCAAACATGGAAAATCTGACTCAGGACAATTTTAGTACTTAAGGAGAGGCACTGGAGAGACTGATTTAGGAACGGGGACTATGGATTGGCCATGAAATGTTTGCCAAAAAAGAAAACCCAAATTGAGTAATTCACATTTTGAGTTTAGTTTTTATGAATCCAAAGAGCAATGACTCTGAAAGGTGATTATAAAACCAGAACCTTCTTACTTAGCAAGTCTGTTCCACAGGATCTGGAGTACTTTAATCAGCGTGACAGAAATGAGTGACAGAAATAAGGGTTCATCGCAGAACCAACGTAGCCAAGAGGAGGTGAGCCGGATTCTATACCTTCCTGTGCATCACATCATCAAAGAACTGTGTACTAAGTTCCAATAAGTGCAAGCCCATTGAGGACAATGGAGTTGTACAGGTGGCCCTGGGGGCTCAATTACAGCACAGAACCTTTATTAAACCTTTATTAAACCAAGGAGGAAAGAAATCAGCTTGATTTTCAGACCCTGGTTGAATTTGTAAGGCTGGCAGTTAGGGAAATAAAATGAACAACATAAATATGCTTGTAAATTGAGCAGATTTGATCTGGAAATTATTAAGAAAACAGAACCACACAACGCCATTTTTACAGACACTTTTTAGAGCTCAACCACAAAGTAATTAATTCATTAATTATTCTCTTCTAACAAAATATACCCTAGGCTTGGGTGTTTTGATAAATATGGAAAATTATGTAAAAAAATCAAATTTCTTCAAGATGGTCCAGATCTATAAATATTCCCTCTCTGTAATATTATTGTTAGTTTATTTATATACATATGTTCTGGTAGTCTCTATAGTTACTAGAGGCCTTGATCAGGGCTTCCTCATGGTAGGCAGGAAAAACGTATATAGTTAATAGAGATAATTCCCACCCCAAAGAGTGTACTTAAACGATTTCTATACCACGGAGGAGAAAATAGACTCATTACAGAGGTAAACATGATGTATGGCTTCAAAGGGCCTGATCTCTGCATGGTATAATGCATCATCACTGATGGATCAAGACTACATTTATAGGAAAATGGCAAAGAAAACTAAAAACAGATAGAACTTCGGAACAACAAGCAACATATTTGGAAGAAGACCAAAACCTCATCTATCTGATGATAGATCTGATGATCATGCATCCAATGAAGTGAGCTGTAGCTCACGAAAGCTTATGCTCAAATAAATTGGTTAGTCTCTAAGGTGCCACAAGTACTCCTTTTATTTTTGCGAATATGGACTAACACGGCTGCTACTCTGAAACCTGTCATCTATCTGTGTAACCATTCAGGAAAATTATTACAAAATACTTTGTCAATGTCACTTCACTCTATTTAAACTAAGGAAATATATAAAAAGGGAGTCATAACTGTTGAAGAGGATGTGCAGTAATAGGTACCTTCCTATATTTATGGTGGGAATGCCTTAAAATAATCGTATTTTGTGGGAAAATAGTACACAGAATTTTCAAGATAGCTAAAGTTAGCCTACTCATTAAACTTACAGTGCCTCTATTAGGTTACAGTCCAAAGGAAGTTATTGAATCAGGGAAAGCCTCACTGATATCACAGTTACTTCTAGCAACCATATGTGCCATATTTCAATTTTGGAAAAGGATAGATACCTCAACATTAGTAGGATGGTGAAATAAAGTCTGAGAAATTCTTTCAACAAGAAAAATGACAGGCAGCCTTATATCAGGTCAAGGAGATTTTCTAATGTGTGGGCACCTGTAGCATTCATACAAGGTTCATGGACTTGGCAACATTCAGGGCACACCTGGAGTGTTGTGTAGGAGCAGTGCACACACAGCTCCTCTCAAGGGCATGAACCTTGGAATCTCACCCAGATGACATGAACCGTGGGAAGCCTCCCAGGACTGGGCTCAAGGCCCGAGAGCAAGGAATGCGGTAGATAGAAATTGGTAAATAAGAATGTTAAACAAAGCCAGTGTATTCCTTTTATCTGTTGGAGAATGTAATGTGCAGGGGGAGAGAAAGAATAAAGGAGAGGGTGGAAAGCTGACAGGAGCAGCCCGTTGGCAGACCAGCCTGCTTGCTTGCTTAAAGCCTTGTCCTGTCTTGTACTTGAATCGCAACAGGCACCACTTTTGGAATTTGAACAAATACTCAGATAAGGATAAGAAGAGGGAAATCTGTAAGATTTGTTAATACTTGTATGGAAAGTTCATGAATGTTAGAACATATGTGAACTTTCCATATACAGATTAGATTAAGATACAGATTAAGAACAGATTAGGTTTATGGAAGAGTACTTGAAACTCAGTTTCCAACCATTTCATTTAGTTAAGTGTTGATCTTTTCAGCTACTCATAATATATCTGGGGTACCAGTGCATAAAATAAACACTTGCCCCACTCCTTGTTCCACTGCTCAGCTAGAAAATTTGCTTCTCCTCCTATATTTGCTTTGCAGGAGGTCCCTGTACTCCTTTGCAGTGGTTTGTGCTTCTGGAGTAGGGAGGTCAGGCAGGAGCAGTCAGCCACAGCACTTGAGGGAGTACAGGGACTACCATTATGCCAGAGGGAAGGGGGATTTTAACACGTGACTGGGGAGGGCCAATGACCGAAAAATGTGCTCATAGAATCGTAGATTAGGGTTGGAAGAGACCTCAGGAGGTCATCTAGTCCAACCCCCTGCTCAAAGCAGAACCAACACCAACTAAATCATCCCAGCCAGGGTTTTGTCAAGCCGGGCCTTAAAAGCCTCTAAGGATGGAGATTCCACCACCTTCCTAGGTAACCCATTCCAGTGCTTCACCACGCTCCTAGTGAAATAGTGTTTTCTAATATCCAACCTAGACCTCCCCCACAGCAACTGTCCCTAAATAATTAATAAACTTGTTGCCTTTTCTGATGGCAGTCAGCAACCGGAGCCATTACGTACTTTGGGCAGAGTTCTGCCTGACAGGCACAGCCCTGAGACGGGGACAGTGCAGAACAGCCCTCCAGTCAACCACCCCATGGGAGGGATCTCTCCAGTGCATGGGTGGCAATAGAGTCTGCCCACTGACTTATCTGTTAGGCTGGTAAGAACATAAGAATATAAGAATGGCCATACTGGGTCAGACGAAAGGTCCATCCAGCCCAGTATCCTGGTACAGTAGACATCTTTCTCTGTGCCCTGCCATCTCTGCTGGCTAGTGAGGGAGGAACCCCTCTGCCTCCTTTGGAGTGGTTTGTGGCTGTAGGCAGGGAGGAGCAGTCAGCTCCAGCACCTGAGTGAGCACAGGAACTACAATTAGTCCAGGTTACTGCGTGAAGTGGGGCAAGTGTGTGGTGGCTTCTTGTGCCTCCTCCCCCCACCCTGCCTTGCGTATCCACAAAGAAGATGGGCACAAGCTGGCCCTTTGTCTTTATTTCTTAAATCAATCAAAAACCAGCCATCCAGTAATTCTCTTCAAAACAACACAGCTCAGGCCTCAGTAGGACTCCTTTTAAAACGTGGTTTGGGTTTTTTAATCAGAAAGGTATGGTAAACTGAATAGAAACTTTCACGGGCAGCAACAACACATCACCTCGACAGTCCGGAATAGGAGAGAGCAGGGGCTGACAGGACTGCCATTTCTGCTGGATGAGTGCTACACAATCACGTTTCACATGGGGAGCTGTCATGTAATTTCTGTTGTGAATTAAACACGAGAGAAAAACTAAAGCCGTCCTGTGCTAGGCAGGAGGTCAAACTAGCTGATCTAATGGCCCCTTCTGACCCTGGGAAAAAAATCTATTAATGCACAGAGGTTTCCATAGTTTTGTTGAAATCTCAGTTACAGAAAGTATAACAGTTTTACAACATTATGTGTAGGAAATGTGAGTGACACTATTTACATTCAGTACATGGTTTAGAACAACTAATAAGCTAAAGTTTCAATTCATAGCTCTGCTAGACACCAAAAAAGCATGGACTCAATAGAGACATGGGTTTTATGTCTCATTGCAACAATCTGTAACCCTCTTTGTAACTCTCCCTTGTCCTATGACTGCAGAAGTGTTAATGGCCCACTTCATTTTTTGCAACCTGTTAACTCCTTATGCTTAACAATCTGTTCTACTTTGTATTTAGCTGTGACACTCATTACCTTTCCCAGACCTGAAGAAGAGCTCTGTGGAGCATGAAAGCTTGCCTCTTTCATCGACAGAAATTGGTCCAAAAAAACAGTGATTCTCAAACAGGCGTGCGGGGCCCCCTGGGGAGCTGTGACTAGGTTTCACGGGGGCCGCCAAGCAGGGCTAGCATTAGATTCACTGGGGCCTAGGATAGAAAGCCAAAGCCCTCCCGCACGGGCAGGGCCATCCTTAGGATTTATGGGGCCCTAAGCAGTATTATTAAACTGGTGCCTCTATACCCGATGGCAGCCCAGGGGAGGGACGAAGCAGCAAAGGATACCAAGCTGCCCAGTCCGCCTCACGGCGGCAGAGAGTCTCAGTTCCCCGCAGAGACCCCCGGACCCTCTCCCCCATGCGGAATGAGTGGTGCTGGCACATTTGGCTCTGTGAATACAGCCCCTGCCTAAGGAGACTGCAGTGCGCGCCGGGTGTGCGGGAGCCGACCCTCTCCTCCTGCTGTCATAGGCGGTGGGTGAAGCTGCCGCTTGGTGAGGCTAGCTCCCCAGCCCACCTGTGGCCCTGCCCGTACTCCACCCCTGCTCTGCCCCAGACTCCAGCCTCTCCCCACTGTCTCCCACCTCTCTTCCTTCCCCCTCCCTGCTCATCCCCTTCCAGCCAAATCCCTGAACCCACATGAAGCAAATGACATTTGAAAAACCACTCTTCTGCAATTTCTTTCTAAAGAAAATGGAGCATGTTTTCCACTGCATGCCAGAAGATGAAGACTGGACATGCAGAAGGTACCTAATTAAAAGCACTAAACATGGAAATAAAAAATGTCATTCACAGGTTTTTGTATATACCCTGAAGTTTGTCAGAGATTTATTTGCAAAAACTTTGTAGTAAGGGCAAGTCAGCTGTCCTGCTGAATATAACATTAAATATTATGGAATACATGATGCAGCTCTTCTCTGTTTTACATTTTCTTAATCAGTAGCTCTAAGATGGTTTTATATTCTAAATGTACTCTTAAGCCTTCACAAAGTAATCATTCGAGATTACTACATATTTAACTCACTGAAACAAAGACATTATTTTAAATTAATCAGTCACAGAGGTTTAGTGTGTTCCTAACAATGTTCATTGCTTTTAGAAAAAGGGAACACTAATTTATTTTGTGGGATCTCCATAACAATAGACATGTTTATGAAATTTCACCAACTTTAAAAAATATGTTTCCAAAGATTTTAGGCATAACAAAGGATGTTATATCTTACTAAGGTACTGATTTTGCTAGAGGGTTTCTCTTAAAATCAGTTCACCAAATAGTCAGAAGTAAAGAAAGGGAAACTCGTTTGTTCCGCTATCTGGCAGGAAAGGGGTGTTGTCCCTTTAAGGGATCTCTTCAACAGGGGGGTGAAGGGAGAAAGAGATGGACAGAATGGACAGGAAGAATTTGGAAAAAAGTTTTTTGTACTATAGTAATTAAAATTAAAATGTGTATTTTAGATAAGGGTGGTCCTTTGAAGCATTTATTTAAAAACGATATGTCTAAAGATCCAAGCATTTAAGGCTAAAGATGAATACCCAGATTGTGCATCTAAAAATCTATGCAAGGATTTTTTAGAGATGTGATTTTATCATCTTCAGCAACACACTAATGAAATATTTGTAAAGCAAATTTTAAACTAAGGTCCTGTAGACTAACATGTTATTAGTAAATATTACAGTAATGCACAACTGTTTTTGTCAGTAAATTCAGAAACTGACAGTATATACCTGGGGGTTGGAAAATGCCTGTTAAATGACTTCATTACCACTTGAATGGCTCTTTAACAGGTTCAGTGTTGTACTAATAGGTCTGGCAGGCTGGAAGGCTTTTCACTTTTAAGTTACTAGATTCTCTCCAGAGGAAGATTCACTAGGCTGCAGCAGCTAGTGGTGGGAGCCTGCAGGAAGGGTCAGAACAGGGATAGGAAGAGTGGGAGGGTGGACACTAAGCCCCAGGTTATTTTTGGGTGCCGTATGCAACCGCATATCCTGCGTATGCCTAAGGACAGCCCTGAGCATAGGGCTGAAGCCCAGGGCCCTGAGCCCCGCCATCCAGGGCTGAAGCCAAAGCCTAAGCAATGTAGCTTCATGGGAGCCCCTGTGGCACGGGGCCCCAGACAATTGCCCTGCTTGCTATCCCCTAACATAGGTCCTGGCTTTAATATGCAGAAAACCAATTATTGTGGCACAGGTGGGCCATGGAGTTTTTATAGAATCTTGGGGGGGCCTAAGAAAGGAAAAGGTTGAGACCCTCTGCAATAAAAGACATGAGGTCACACAAATTGTCTTTCTAATAGGTAAAAAGTCACCGAGACAACTCGCCCTGCTACTGTACCTTTTGGACCATCGATAGCAGACACTTCCTTGCCCACAGCAGTTCAGACCAGGTATTCTGTGGCCCCCAGATCTTTTCATGATCATACCTTCTCTGAAACAAATGTAAAGATGACAAATAAATAGTAAATTTGATACATGCATACAAAGCTTATTAATTATGCCTAGGTGAAGCTATATGGACTGGAGCAATATGACCTGGAGGTACATAGGCTAGGTCAAACACAGTTCTGTGACATCTGTCTGACCCCTTCCACCTCAGTGGGGTGGCATGGGCAGAATGGAGCAGAAGTGGATCACCTCCCTCTCATTTTCTATTGCCAGGTCATCTCTCTTATTCGCCTTGCATCTCAGACATTTCATCCACCTCCCAAGCAGTGGGTGACTTGAACCTAACCCTACTGTACATCCAGCAAATGAACTGAACCCACAGTCACAGCAGTGGTATTGTAATAAATGCCACACCAGCAATAAGAAGGGCTAAGGGTAAAGTCTCCGCTTACAAATGAACTGAGGGCAAAGAGGCATCTAGGGTGCAAACAGGGAATGAGCAGCACCAGGGAGGGGTGAGGGGGCAGAATAAAGGCCACGGAGGACTAGGTGGATAGAAGATACATCCAACCTACCCTCCCAATTGGCAGGGAAAGCGAGAATCGCTTCTGTGCACAGCAGGAATGAGTTAGAGCTAAGGGCTGCAGTGCAGACTGAAGCACTACAAGCTTAAGGGCTGGTCTACGCTGGCACTTTACAGCGCTGCAACTTTCTCGCTCAGGGGTGTGAAAATACACCCCCGGAGCACTGCAAGTTTCAGAGCTGTAATGGGCCAGCACAGACAATGAGTGCACCGGCGCTCAGCCTCGTGGAGGTGGGGTTTTTTAGAGCGGTGGGAGAGCTCTCTCCCAGAGCTATGCCGTGACTACACAAGCAGCACTTTATCGTTGGCAGTGAAGACGTGCCTTTAGTCTGAGAATGTTAACCTGGTGAAGAGCTCTGAAATCTGAGAGAGGGCCCAACACAGAGAAGGCTCCATCCTTCTTGCCCGCAGTCAAGTCCTTCTCCGTTTAAAACACTGGATGCCTGGACTCATTGCATTTCAAACACCCAGGTCCCATCCATATAACCTGAAGAAAAAATTTCACTACTGCCTGCGAGGCTGTTTACAAAAACAACAGACACTTTTGGTGGTAACCAAAACAACACGGTTTCTATGTAACTGTGTTCAAAAGAAAGGAATTAAGTGTCAACCCCAGGCTCAAGGAAACTTTGGAAATGTCGGGAAGTTTAAAGAAAAAAAATGGACCTCTCTTGATTTCAGCGCACTCTTTTCCTCTTGTAGTCACAGCCCATGGCTGACATGTCACCATCATACAGGAAATAAACTAACCAGTGGTGTAAGCATGTTATGACAGGGATTGTACATTGCTCTGGTTGTTTGCATTGGGCCATATTATTATTTGGTGCAACTCCAGTCGATGACAGGACGAATTTGGCCCTGTGAGTCTGGCAGTGAGATGTGTTTTGCCTTTTACATTCATTTCCCAGAGCTGTAATGTCCTCTTGTGAATAATAATGGAAGATAAGATGTTCCCAAATTTATTGCTAGCTTAGCAGGAAAGCTACCAATTTGGACAGTCTCTCTTTATAAAATGATGCTCTTGATGAAATGTAACTCACACAAAGAAATGAAATTCAACTTACATGCCCTTTGGTCCTAGATCACGGATAAATGACAGCTGACTTACACCAATGAATTCCATCTGGAAAATAAAAAGTTCCCCACTGTTTACATTTTGGACTCCCACCAATCAGTTTGCTTGGAAAAATAACATTGATAGCAAAAATAATTCATCAGCAGGAAAAAGTGGGAACATCTCTTTTAGGACTCAATCCAAAACCCACTGAAGTCAACAGAAATGTATGTGTTTTGGATCAGGCCTTTAATGAACATGACCAAAACAACCAAAATCAGATTTGATGGGACATTATATGTGGTTATTTAGAGGATTGGGAAGGACCCATTGGAACCTTCACTGGTAGGTCACTGGTTCAAATTCAGTTCACGTAAGTAATGACAAAATTTACCATTGCTTGATAAGTGTTTGGTGACCTATGTGAACCGAGTTCGTAGACTCAGTTCAGTTTCCACTAGATGTGTGTCTACCTCATGCAAGCTGGCTCCACCAAAAGGCCAGTGATTAAATGGACAGACAAAAATTGCTAATATAAAGTGGAAGTCTGTTGTAATCTCATGTAAAATGTCTGGAGTCATCAATAGACCCCAATTCAAAAAACCTTGAAGTTATCCAAAGAGATCACAGCAGAATATACAGATGAGCAAGTCCTCTTGCCATTAGCAAACTAATGACAATGAACTCCATGTCTGCATTAATATCTACAACTAGACCTCTTCCAACCAACCAGGCTTTCTTGGCAGAGTAAGCCATTCCTGGCATATATGCTGCTGCTTAGTCATCTCAGATCCAGTTAGAGAGTGTCTCTCATCACAGGGTTGAAAGTAAGAGCAGAATCTGACCCACGTGATACAGAACTAAACAGATTTCAGCTACTCTCCTTTGTCTGTATTGGGTTAATTAACCAAAGTGCACAAACACGCAGGGGGAGGGAGCAGGAGGTGGTTTTCTCATTTGATCTGGCAGCAAAGAGGCAAAAAGAAGAACTTAACTTTCTAATGAAATATGCTGCCATCCAGAGCCAAATGGGCTAAATTCAAGTCTCAGATCCACATGCACAGCTGCAATTGACCTCAATGAGAAATAAATGGGAGCCACGTGCATCCAAGGTCAGAAAGTATTCAGAAAAATACCACTTATAACATCACTCCCCTCTTGCAATAGCTACACTCACCTCTTAGATCCAGAGTGAGTGGAGATGCAGAACTGGCAAAGGAGCATGGCCTTATCATGGTGAAAATCCCCATAGGGACCAACACTACGTAAGGGTTTCATGGTTCCCTTGGCCTGGAATGCTCATCCCAAGCTTCAGAGCCACACTTTAGGTTTGCTCTGTGCCATACGGCAGAAAACAGCGATTTCCAAACCACAAATGAAATCAACAGAAGCGAATGGTTTGACACAACACAGATCACAACAATCCTAGGGTCCGATTCTGCCACCCTTTCTCATGTGGAATAATAACTGTGAAGCAGTTAGATTGACCTCAGTGAGACTACTCACAAACTGTAGGAAGTCTGACACAACATGATAGAGGGACAGATTTGGGCCCTTAGGGCTAGAATGAGCCTGTAGGCCTGGGTGTAACCATGTCATTCCAGGAAGAGTCCCAGAAAGAAAATGCAACTCAGAGACACAGTTCCATTCCAGCCCAGTTCTTTTGCCCTGGTGCAGCGGAGGGGAGAGTATTTTGCTACCACTTTTTTTAAGGGCACAACATAACCTCCCCTCCCAACCAGGCAGCTCTGCTTTCCTCTCAGGCCTGTAGCTGCCATCTGGTCACTGAACCAACAAGAGATATGCAATTTTAGACCTGGTTTTGGTAAGTAGTGATGTCATAGAAGAGCTAGTAGTAGGAAATAACCTTGGATCAGGTGATCACAAGTTGATTCAGTTTAAATTAAATAGAAGGATAATTAAAACCAGGTCATCAGCTATGTTTTTTTAAATTTCAAAAGGGCAAACTTTGGGAATTAAGGGAATGAGTTAAAGAGGTCAACTGGAGTGAAGAGTTCAAGGACTTAAATGCAGAAGAGGCTTGGAATTTCTTCAAATCAACTATACGAAAACTGTCTGAAATTTGCACTCAAGCAAGGGGGAAAAAAACACTCACAGGGAAAGACCCCAGACTCAGCTGAGGCCATTAGGAATAAGCAGAGAGCCTACAGAGAATGGAAAAGGGGTAAAGAAAGCTACACCTTGGAGGTTAGAAAAGGTACGAATAAAGTGAGAATTGCTACAAGTCAAGCTGAATTTAAAAAAGTAAATAATAAGAGGTTTATTAGTTATATACATAGAAAGGGAATAAGGAAGGATGAGGTTAAGCCTGCTATGTAAAGTGGATGGGAAGAAGATTAAAGATAACCTAGGTATGGCCCAAAAATGAAGCGCATACTTTACCTCAGTTTTTAATACAGATGCTTATATGGAACATGGGCATGAAGGTAGGAGGACTGATGGAAATGGACATTACCACATCTGCGATGGCAGAAAAACTTTTTTTTTTAGAAGGGAAGTGTAGCAGACCTAATATACTTGGATGTCAGTAAAGCATTTGACAGGGTACCATATGGGAAATTATAAATTAAACTGGGATTGTTACAAGAATTGTAAGGGGGATAAGGAACTGGCTAAAGGGGAGAAGGCAACAGGTTGTGTTGAAAAGTGGATTATCGGACTGGAAGAAGGTTATTAGTGGAGGCTCTGAAGAATCCATCTTGGGATCAATCTTATTCAATATTTTTATTAATGACCTTGGCACAAGAAGTAGGAGTGTGGTAATGAAATTTGCTGATGATACACAGTTGGGAGGCATCGTCAATGCAGAGGAGGATCGGAATATTATACAGGGAGATCTGGATGATCTTGAAGACTGGAGTGACAGAAATGGGATGAAATTTAATAGTGCAAAGTGCTAGGTCATGCACTTAGGATCTAATAATAAGGATTTCTGCTTCAGACTGGGGGCTCATCATTTGGAAGAGACAGAGGAGGAATGAGACTTGGGTGTGTAGTGAATCACAGGATGACCATGAACCACCCATGTGATACAGCTGCAAAAAAATGCAAATACAATCCTACGATGTGTTAGGCAAAGCATTTTCAGTAGAGATAATGTAGTATTAATGCCTTTGTACTAGGCACTGGTAAGAATATTTGGAATACTCTGTACAATTCTCATCACGCATGTTCAAGAAAGTTGAATTCAAACTGGAACAGGTGGAGAGAAGAGCTACTAGGATGATCCAGGGAGTGAAGGGCCTATTTTATGAGTGGAAGAGCTTGCTTGGTCAGTCTAGTAAAAAGAAGGCTGAGTGGGGATACGGTTGCTCTATATAAAAAATACATGGGGGGAAGGGGTATAAACACCAGGGAGGGTGAAGAGTTATTCAAGCTAAAGAACAATGTTGGCAAAAGAACAAATGGATACAAACTGGGCATGAACAAATTCATGCTAGAAATTAGAAGATTTTTAACCAACAGAGCAGTGAGGTTCCGGAACAGCCTTCCAATAGGAGTTGTGGGGGCAAACAATTTAGTTAGTTTTAAGAGAGAGCCAAATTCTTTAGTAGGATTGTATATCGGGGTTGCTTGTGATGGTAGGGGGCAGGGCTTGTCAGCCCTGGGTCTCATGTACAGTTTATGTCTTTTGGTCCTAAAAGCTCAGGCTTCAGGAAGCCACCTGTAGAGGTCAGGAAGGGATTTCCCTGCCTTCTCTCCCTGCCATGTATTTTAGGATTGTTGTTGGCTTTTGTCTCCTTCTTCTGAAGCATCAGAGGTGGGACACTGGACAGGGCAGACCTGTGCTCTGAGTAGCAATCAGCATTCTATTTCTCTCTCTCAGGTGCTTGGCTGGCTGGTTCTTGCTCACATGCTCAAGGTCTAACTGATCCTGATCTAACTGTGGGGGTAAGAAAGGAATTTTCCACGTGGGCCAATTGGCAGTGACCTTGGGGGTTTTCAGCTTCCTCTGCAGCAACCGGGTACAGGTCACTTGCCAGGATTATCTGGGTATGTTTCACTTAATCAATTTCCTGCCATTGCAGGGGCTCAAGCACTGGTGCACCTCAGTCCCTCCTATTCTCTGTCTGTGTCACACAATCATCTAGTCTCCTGCGGGCTGTAATATTTCAGTCTAATTCTGATTGTTAGGTTTAGCACGTGTTGGTGGCCTGTGATGTACATAGCCTTGGCAGAGTTTGATTTTTATAATTTTGACAGATAATATCAATGTTTATTTTAAGCATTTTTTTATATTTTTAATTATTTAAATTTTCACAGTTATGTGAAATTATGGAGGGCGTCAGACAATTAGTGACAGCAGATGCTGAAATTAAAAAAGCTGAAGTTTTATAAATTATTAACTCAAATAGTCAACATCACATGCAAATATTCGAAGTAAATATCCTTCAATCAACAAATCGTACTTGCTTTTACTATTTATTTGCTAATCCATTTTAACAAGCCAAATTCAAAAGGCTGGATTTTGACTCTGATAAGTTATCAAGCAGCCCTATTCTTATTTTATCTGTCTGTATATTACAATTATTATTGGTGGAAATATTTTTTCATCGGTTTGCATTTTTTTTTTAAATTGATGTGTACCAACATAGACAAATACAAATCTAATCCTTCCAAACCAAGATATGCAGGTGGTCAGATTAGATGATCTGGCTTTAAACTCTATGATTCTATGCTCAGGGCTACCACAGCCACAGAGATGAGTCAAAGGGCTCCTATTCTCATGCATGGCCATGTAGCCCAAGGACACAAACTAGCTCTTAGTAGAAGCCAGTATCTGTATACTTGATTTCCTGCTTTTCCTGTGATTTCATCATTTTTATGAAGCAAAGAGTACTAATTATTTCATGGTTTTTTCACAAGCTTTTGAATTCACAAATTCTCGCTACCTGTCCTGGGTAAGGAAGAAGAAACAGGTTCTGCCATCTGTGAATAGTCCATTCTATTCTGTGGGTGAAATTCGGCACAGCCTGCGCAAGGCCTATGTACCATTTAAAGCCTTTTACATGGTGCTTAAGTTGGGCCTCAGGCAATCTCAGCTCTGG